GATACACGACTTTTTTTATTTAAAGGTTCCTCTTCTACTTTGATGCTTATATTATCACCAGATTCTTCTTGTATTAATTTTGTCAACATTTCTTTTATATCAGTTGCTACTGAATTTTTGTCTTCTTCAGTAGCATATGGTAATTGTTTAAACCTAGTATATACCATATGATATTAATTACATTTCTTTTCACTTAAAATAGAACTTATTTTAGTAATATGTAACTACCTTGGATCTAAAGTAGTTGCAATTTGAAGTAAAAGAGTAACATTATAATCTGCATATCTATCATAAAGCATATCAGATAATGATTCTTTGAAAGATTTTGCTTTCTCACTATCACTTTCTTTTATTTTAAGGTGAGAAGATACAAGTTGCCAGAGTAATGGTTTTAATAAAGAAATCAATGGCATTTTCTCCTCACTAAGTGTCATAATAGTAACTTTAAATGGTTCAAGTACATTTACAAGATCCTCTACAATTTTCCATTGATCATTTGTTAAATCAACTACTTCTTGATCAACACCTTCCATGCTCTCCAAAATTGAGGTTACAATATTACGACGTAAAACCATTTGTTCAAGCATGTTGTATGTTGATGTCCATACAGGTGGATAATCCATTAACATAGCATTTTCTTCTAGCTACAATTATATTAAATATACTTTAAAATTATAAATAAATTATAAATAATTTATAATAATAATTTTAATTTTAAAATTATAAAATTATAAATATATATATATATAATTAATTTAAATGATTTATTAATAATAAAATTTACTTACTTCTAATAATTGTTCTTGCATAGCTAATGCTGCTGATGCAGCTGGATGACTTATAATAGCTCCAATAGCTGCTCTACATTTTGATAATATAGATGCAACTTCTGGACTTTCAAAGCAAGCTTGAGCACATACTTGTAAGGTATAAAGTAAACAAGGAACTAATGTCAATCCTCGATTTGTTAAAGCATTCAATAATTCTGTTCTAGATGTGGCTACTACTACTGCAGTTATCCTTTCTATTTTCAAATCCCAATCAAGTAATAAAGAATCTATTGTATTACCCCATTGAGATTCCTCCCAATCTAAAGGAGCATGAATAGTACTTAACACTTTACATTCTAACACTGGTTCACCAGAGTTTTGATAATATACAGACACAGTAACAAATCGTTCATCAGAATTTGATTTCCATTCTTCAATAGTCAAACCTACTTCACTTGTAATACAAGAAAGAGTTGTTGCTACTGATTCACGAAAAGTATCATATATCTTTGGAATAATTTCTTCTTCTAATTTATTTTTACTTGGAATTTCACAAGGTGAACGTAAAGTGGCAACTAATCTCTGAAAACCTCGTCCTTCCACTACTTCTGGTAATTGTAAATCCATTATAATAAATTCAGCTATAGCATCTGATACAGTTTTTCCATCAATACTTGATTGATTAATAGAATTATCTTCTGGCATGAGAAAGGCCACATTTTGACTATTATTTCCAATGTTAGATCCACTTTTAATCATAACTCTTAAAGGTTGACCAATTGTGATATCATCTTCAATATTAGATAAACTTACATTTGGATCAGTTACAAATTGAATATCTCCATCTATTTGAACAGTACCATCTGCATTAGTAGTATAAATATGTTGAGTAGAAGTTAAACCTGTTTTTAATAATTTTTTTTGTGCTCTTCTTTCTTTTGTTTCCTGAGAAAGTACTTGTCTGCGTGGAGGATTAGTAGCTTCTAATTCTAAAAGTTCTTGAGCATGTTTATTTTGTAAATGCATACGTAAATTACTGGTGTTACGATTATATGCAATTTGAGTTTTACATAATATGCAAACGATTTTTACTTTAGTAAGAATATCTCCATCATCTGTAGCTGGAAATCCGAAAAATTTCCAGTAAATACTTCTCATTGACATAGGTACTACTAATTTTTTATAAGTATAAGTATACTTTTCTTCCATCATTTTGGCAAGTACCATTTGCATTTCGCTTTTCGAATCATCTGTTGTTGCAGATTTTCTGTTGTTAGGCAATGTTATTGGTTTATTTTCCATAATTGTAATTCAAAATACATAGGTACCGGTACGTCTTATCTTCTAGATGTTAAAATATACATATACAATATTTCTCACAATTGTAATATTTCATAGCGTTTTTTCTCGTCAAAATGGAAAATTTTTGTTGCATAATTTAAAATATATCTGTTTATAAAGATGCATAATCCTTTTTACACGTTCTCGTCTTTTTATGGTTATAAAGGAATAACAAATTTACCGCGAATACTACGATATCTCAAAGCAATGTTTGACGAATTATTTCACAGATATCGAACTTCAATTTCTCGTTTCGAAAAGAACGATGCACGATCGGTTATCGACCACCTCTCGTAACGATGCTATCGACTTTAGTTCACTTACTCAAAGAAATATCGCTACGTAGAGTTCTCAACTAATCGATTCCATAAAATAGTATAGCTAATGAAGCGCCATCTGTATCGATTATTCTTTATTTTGTTCTTTAGATGAAACGTAAAATGTATTTATATAAAAATTAAAAAGTAATATTTTTCACTATTCAGATAATATTGATTATTAAAAACTATAAACTATAATATTTTCATTAATATTAATATATTAAATATATTATTTTTCGATTGAATGTAAGAACAATATCTTGTTATATCAAATATTTTCTTATTTTATTAAAAGTGTAATTTTTATAAAAAAATTGTTAATAGTTAATAATTAATAAAAATAAAGGAAATTTTATGAAATATATAATTTTATGAAAACACAAGTGAATACAAAATATTAATATTTAATGAAGTAAATACTTGTTTTTGGAAAATTAACCTAAAATTTTATTTGTATTATTCTACATCGTTGTTTTATATTTTATAAAAAGTTAAGAATATATACTTTTTATTATTTTTATAGTGCGATATATTAATTTTAATTAGAATTATTTTAAACTATAAAAAATGTACATAACCAAAAAAATGAAAATATTTTTATATTTAATATTATGGAGGTTATTTTCTGTCTTCATGGTTCAAACTGCCCATGTACCAGATGAATATTGGCAATCATTAGAAGTTGCTCATTATTTAGCATTTGGATATGGATATCTCACATGGGAGTGGACAATGAAAATTCGTAATTATATTTATCCATTTTTATTATCTATCATATATAGAATATTGACATTGATATCCTTGGATTATGTAATAATTTTAACAACTGCACCTCGAATTCTTCAAGCAATTTTCAGTGCTTATGGAGAATACAAATTCTATGAATGGACTAAAAATAAATGGACATTGTATAGTTTATGTATAAATTGGTATTGGTATTATTGTGCTACACGTACATTAATAAATACTATAGAAACTACATGTACTATGATAGCTTTGTCAATATTTCCATGGCGTGGTAATAATATTAAAACTGTAAAGTATTTATGGATTGTAGGATTTCTATGTATGATTAGACCTACTGCTATTATTGTATGGTTGCCATTATGTTTTTATCATTTATATATAAATTTACAAAATAAGTGGAAAATAATATATCAATATAGTGTAATATGCATTATTTGTTTCGTAACTTCAATATTGTTAGATACTTATTGTTATGGTACTTTAGTCATTTCTCCTTGGGAGTTTTTTCGTATGAATATACTTCATAAAATTGGAAATTCATATGGTACGCAACATTTTTTATGGTATATTATATGTGGATTACCAGTACTTTTAGGGTGTTATTATATTGTGTTTTTATTATGTATTTGGCAAATAATGAAACACCCATTCTTTTTTCATTATCAAGCAGTTATGTTATTTGTTATATGTTGGACACTTAGTATTTATTCTTTGTTGTCTCATAAAGAATTTCGATTTTTATTACCTCTTTTACCAATGTGTATATATATATGTACTTCTTGTACATTCCATTTGAATATGAAGTTTATGAAAACAGCAAGAAAAATTTTTGTAGGATTTTTAATATTATCTAATGTATTACCTGGTCTTTATTTTAATTTAATACATCAACGTGGGTCATTAGATGTAATGAATATTCTTTATAAAGAAATTACTAATAATAAGAATACAAATAACATATTATTTTTAACTCCATGTCATGCTACTCCTTTATATAGTCATTTACATATAAATGTATCTATTAAAATATTAACTTGTGAACCTAATTTGACTAATAACATAAACTATATGGATGAAACAGACATATTTTTTACAAATCCAATGCAATGGTTGGTTGAAAATTATGATATTAATAAAAATATTACTATTCCGAATTATATAATATTGTTTGATAATATTGTACCAAAAATAGATCGATTTTTAAGTCACTATCAATTGTTATCGGAAATTTTTTATACACATTTTCCACAATCAAATTATGGAAAATATATTTATGTATATAAACATAAATGAACAAATAACTTCTTTAACAGTTTTAAGTTAATAGAATAAGTTATTACAATAGTTATAAGTTATACAATAATAAAAATAATAAAATTATAAAATAAAAATAATTAAATTTTATAATTTGTTGAATAATGGATTGGATAAAATGTAACCAAATATAATAAATAGAAAATAAGAAAGATCGAAGAAAAATCAAAAAAATTTTATTAAAATCATAATTTGCAAATATAAAAAGCTTCGATAGATAATAATTATTATTCGATTTTCAATGATAAAAAATTGAATTGATTGAAAGATTAACTTATATGAAATAATTTCGAATTTTAGAATCTTTATATACAATGATATTGATTTCAATTAATTATATTAATTGAATAAGGATCTTCTGTGACATAATATCGCTTTATAACATTAAAATATTTAATTATTATATTGTTTATGTGAATATCGGTATAGAATTATAGAATTAAATAGATTGTTATTTTAATTGGCAAATAATTTTCAATAAATCAAACAAAATTAATGGAAATTTCTGATTTTTTTTAAATTAAAAATACATCATTATTGAGAGAGAGAGAGAGAGAGAGAGAGAGAGAGAGAGAGAGAGAGAGAGAGAGAGAGAG